TTAATATTATAGTACTTCCTTCGCGGCTTTCCGTTGAATTCTGGACATTGTTGTTCGCTGGTATTTTTCACGGTAAATGTGTTTTGGCTGTTCTCGGTCACGTATTTTCAATTTAGATTTGGAAATGGGAATCCAGTTTGCTTTTGAATTGGTGAAAAGTTACAGGTACAATAAAGCGATGTATGTTTTTTTCTTCTTTAGTTTTATTCTTCTCTAAGTGAAGTCTAACTTATCTAAAACTTGATACGGTTGTCTATTCTCGATTTTATATTGTAAGACTGACGCTATTCTCGACCATTTCTTCTTTACATTTAAAGAGGCATTCAAATAAGGTCCTAAATAAACGTACTAATAGCTACACGCCACACGAATAATTCACGAATGTGTTACGTTATTTTGAGTTTGTAACTATGTGCACATTGTGCTGTGTTGCAGGTCAGTTGGGAATGCAATTAGGTACAGTACAACAGTGCTCAGTGCATGTGAGATTGTAATTAAAGTCTGATGCCTCGGTTACCGCTTACTTACTATTTTTGTACAGCTCAACTTGTTAGCAATTTATATTGTTATGTTTTGTGCACACTGTTTGCATTCTTAATTTTATAATTTTCATATATTCTTTAACAATCAGAAGCCTTAGTAGGAGACTAGTAAAAATATTTACATGAACGAGTATGTCCTCTAAGATATGTTTGATATGAATGGTTCTGAAAAGCCACTATTAGCTCAGACTAGTACAAATATTGAATAACAGTATATTTGCCAATTATTAAGCTAAGCGCAATTTGGTGCGAATTCTAAAGCCTTCTAATTCAGTGGTTCAAATGTTGGAAACACTTCAACGTCCAACGTTTAATTCAACATGGATGTTGGCGTTGGACATTAATGTGCGACCAACATTGGCCGCATTGGCTGGGTACTGACGAGCTAGCCTCATGGTGGGATATCTCGAACTTTTTACACCAACATTTTAAACCCACAACAGAACTGTGGCAACACTGTGTGTAGATTTTTAAAAGTCAGTTACATTTTTATTTTTTTTAGCAATCCATCACTGTCTTGTTGGTCACTGTGGTCGCAATATTTTTGTGTTGCCCTGGGTCACGTTTACTGGTGCACCGCGGATGGTACCTGTGGTGTACCTCATCGGGTGCCGTCCCGAGCTCCACTGCGCCCCACCGGCAAGCCTCCCCAATTATAAGTTGGGCCAACACGCGATCCAACCTCGCCAGGTATCTGCCACATTTACATAAGTAATTTAAACTCGCTTTGGGGGTAATTTGAAAATAATTTGGTTGTATAAAGTTTTATAGCGAAATTATTTATGTATATTCGGTTTCTAAGGGTTTTAACGCACCCCGTCTTCGATCCCATCAGGTTTGGTCTGGTCTGTCTCTCAGACATGACTGGGGAATCGATTCAGAAATTTGAAAGAACTTTTTTTTCTGAAAAGTAAGATTTTAAATAGATGAGAATAGAATTGTGGGATTAAACAGACGCAAATACACTAACTTTTTTCAAGTTATTACGAGTCTATTGACATATCCGGATTCTGCACTACGTTTAAGTAATTAAAAAGCAATATACTATTTTTCACGGTCCAGAATCGAACCTACTGCTTCACGCTTAGCAGAATTACTCCTTAGACCCTGAGTGTCGGGGCGGAATGTGTAAAACTATTAAAGATATTAAGTATAGGATCATGGACATAACAGAGAAGAGAAGCAACTGCTCGTTAGTGATCTTTAGTATCAAATTGCAAAACGAAATAAACTGAAAATAAAGTGTTGAATACTTTGAGCATGAAGCTACTGGAGATAAAGTTGCGCCATTAATGTAGCCAGTTAGAATTATAATCCGGGCGAGAGCTGTAAACATGCAAATGTATCCTTCCACTCTCCCTGAAAATATTCTGAAAAATTGCTGAATAATATGTTCACGAGCAATTAACTTCAAGCTTGGCGGTAAGCGGCCGAGCAGGGCTTGGGGGCCGACGACCCCGCATCACACTGTCAGGGACAGAGATTACAGACCCCCACTCCCCCTCCCCATACGAGAGCTGTGGTGTTGCCAACACATGGCAATTTGGCACTGGTTAGGTGCTAAATAACTATGACAAATAATAATATCTTTAACAGTTGTGTTGTTAGTTAAATTTCATAATTGTGGATTCCGTTTTATTTTCATAGCTAATTAACTGGTGCCAAAGTTTTGTGTGTAAATCTAGTTAGCCGCCTAATGTGATCATTGAACTCGATTTGGTACAGTTAGTAGATGAAATGGTTCATATTTTTGTGCAATTAATCCCTATACATAAAATAATGTATTATGTGCCAATACTCGATTTTTATATCTGTATTAAAAGATTATGAGTCTGCTTCATTTTCAAAAGATACAACACGATTGTTTTTATCTTCTCAATGTAATCCTGTATCCATCTAACCAGTGTCAGAGTGTCACAGTGCGCGACGGGACCGATATTTTACGCGGCTGGCAACACCGGGACATTAATCACCGTGTTTAGGGGTTGCCAGTGTTGCCACACGTAATGAACTATTGTTACAATCAATAACCCGAGTGCTGAGTGCCGGGATTACGATTGGGAGCTCCTCAATTAATGCAACCGCGTACTGTTCAATGGTCCACGATGGAAAATGGAAACGCTTTTAGGGATTTTACAGCGGTTCCGAAAACTTCGTTTGTACGAGTACTAGGTGAGAGGTGGGGAATAAAACCTCGGGTGGAATTTATTCGTTTTCCATTTTTTCGGAGTTTTAGTTTGGAATACGGAGTTCATTATTATTAATTGATAAATAAGTAGATTTTTTTCTTCTCGTTGGCCGAGTGGTCGCAATTGCGACTGCCGGGTAAGGGGTCTCGGGTTCGAACTGTGCCCGGTATATGGCAATAGGCTCACCCCCTATTACATGGGACTCATAACATAAATAGTGAAAAGTGGGTGTTACATTGTACAGTGGTATAATGTCCACCTCTGCCTACCCCTTCGAGGATAAAAGGCGTGATGTTATGTTTATGTTATGTTTTTTCTTCTCTTATTATATCTTCTGTTCATGGGAACCAAGACAGTTATTCATGTAATCATGTCCCTGGGACGCGCCGGACTTCAATGTTTCGGTGTTTTCATGGTTGTATCTACTTTAGGTCCTGGCTTACAGGAGTTGCAGCGGTTTTGGAAGGTTGTGGCGGGCTTGTCCTAAATAAAACTAAATATATTTGATCATTAAAAACTACAAAACTGTCAGGTATTAGAAACCTCATCATCATCAGGTATTAGGCTATAAGAAACCAAGAAAAAAAAATGAAATCTTGTATTTTTTTATTGTGTTCGAGTTTATAAAAGAAAGTAATAATAATTTCTTAATATAGACCTTCTAAGCTATCTCCATTAACTTAGTTCATCACTAACCAAACAAGTTCAGTCTAAGAGATCCAAATAAGAGTATTTCACAACAAAACATACATAAATAAATCTCATCTTATCATAATTAATTATCAAATTATACATGCTAATACACAAACAACTCAACAATTTTGTATATACAGAATACACACAATATATTCCTTGTGCATAATGCTAAAGAGCGGAATTCTTTGCCAAAGTCTGTATTTCCTGAAGGGTATAACCTGGGTGTCTCCAAGGCCCGAGTGAATAGGTTGCTTATGGGACGACGTGCTCCATCGTAGGCTGCATCATCGCTTACCACCAGGTGAGATAGTGGGCAAACGTCGACTCATCAAGAATAAAAAAATCTATTTACATACAAATGATATTGTGAATTTGATCATAATTATTCAACAATGAAACATTTAACAAATAATAATTTTGCTATGTACACAAAGAGGTCTCAATTACCTCTTTAGAATAGGTATAACTAAGATTTTATTTATTTGCTAAAGTTAAAGACAAATATTAAAACATACATACTTCAGATAATTTTCGAAATAACTATAAATTGGTATAAATCCTAATTATTAACAGTTCAAGTCAAACTTAATGATTTTACTACGATCTCTCTTGTTTACTTCTCAAGTCCTATTAGAAAACATAATAATCTAATTGCAATGTCGTGTGTTTATGTTAATCATATATATAAAATAAAAGACAATTCATATAATTACATTATTGAAAGCAATGAACAAATACACTACTTTTAAGTACTCACGTACCTACCTAGGGAGAGTTTTTAAATGTAATTTATAATTCGAAATGACATTATTAACATTGCAAGATAAATAAAAGAATGAAAAATTGTGCTAAGCTAAAAAAAAATTAATTGTGAGAATTTCCAAAAAAAAAACTAGTTACTCACGTAAATATATTGAGAAAAGCTCGATTACTTTCGAGTCACATAGGGACTCTTCCTCATGAGCAGCGTGTGCGATCTTGTGACTCGAAACTAGTAGAGCTTATCTCAGTATACGTAATTTACACTTTCGTATGGGACATCTGTGTCCCATTTATTATTTTAAAAATATAATATTTATCATTAACAAGACGATTCGTTTCAAAAGATTTCGCTCCTGAATTAACTAATCATTTTAAAATCAATGATTAATTAAGAACCGCAAACACAGATTACCATTTACCAAAATCATTTTCAGTTTTTTTATGCTTTAAAAAATGTTGCCCCACACTAGGATTTTCTCCTGTGTCGTGGGTGCGTTTACAAACATACAAGTTCACATACAAATGACACCCAGACCTGAAACAACAATTTGTGGATCACATAAAGTGTTGTTCCGTGCGGGAATCGAACCCGCGGCACGTTGCACGGCAGCCAGTTATCCAGCCACCGCACCAATCATGCAGTAATTATTTTATTAAGCTGTTTTTTTGTGTCATGAGTGCGTTTGCAAACAATTTGTATATAGACCAACAATCATCTTTATCAATAGGTGCCTTGGACCAATATACTACAAATTTCACCTTGATTTAATCTCATAGTAACAACAGTTTTTATTACGGATTACATCAATAATATTAGTAACGGTCATCTGTACTCGCAGTTTATACTTCGAACTTTGCAGTTACCGTGGCATAAGCATTGTAAAATAACATTAGAATTATCTCCTTTGGTGCCGTATGCCTTTGGCGTCGAATATTCGAGAAACAGCCTGGACAGTCAGCGATATCTCCAATCCTGTAACATTCAGTTTGTAATGTTATCTGTGTGCAATGGTTAAAAAGCTAATGACTTGTAATCACGAGGGTTCAACGAAACGATTGTGACTTGATTTATGTACTTAATTCTGCAGTTTATGTATCGAGAGGTCGCGGGATGCGTGATGTAGGTTAAGTCAGAGTTATTGCTTTACAATTTATCTAACTGACTGACTGATAACGCACAACTATAACTACTGGGCGTAGGAAATTAAAACTTAGAATGTATTTGCGTGCGTTCTGGAGTGCAGGAGTAGAAAGGATATGCCTAAATTCTCACGGTAACGGCAAAAATGAGAATCACCTATTTGTACGTATAAAGTCGCTTGTAAGCACCATCACAATTTAAGTTTTATTTATTTAAGTTTTATACAATTGCATAAGGAAGACTTAATGCTTACAGCATTCTCTGCCAGTCATCCTTTGGGTAGTGCAGAAATGTATGTGGTAGGTGGTAAGCTGCAAAAATGTTATGAGAGATAGTGATAATTATCCAAATTAATAAAAGGGTATCAAACGCATACATAAAATACGTAAATACAATTGTGTGGTTCCTAATATTTACAACACCTATCTAAAAGAGGATTCATGTTACAAGTTGGTATATAACTATAATAAATACTAGCGGCCCGTCCCGGCTTCGCACGGGGGGATTTAAGATTTTTTACATAGTTTTACGTTTTATTTATATTTATTCTCAGTTTTTTTTTAGCGACCTGCCCTCCGTTGTCGATGTCGCGTCTTAAGGTAACCGATTGAACAATTCAAAAGTTATCTAGAGCAAACTTTTATAAGGATTGAACCATTCATTAAAACGATTGTTATGGGTAAACTATAAAAGGTAGACATATGCTCTCGCGGACTTTTTAAAAAATAATGTTAAGATAAACAATTCATCTATAGAACATTTTTGTATAACTTTAACTATATGCTCAGCGCACGCCACGGAAGGCCTCAGAAACGATACTTTTCCCCCGTTTTTAAAACATTTTTGGTTACTGCTCCACAACTATAGGACCTAGCGTGATATTATATAGCCTATGTTACTTCTGAATAATGCAGCTTTCGAATGGTGAAAAAATTATTGCAATCGGTTCAGTAGTTTTTGAGTTTATTCATTAAAAACATACAAAAATACAAATCTTTCCTCTTTATAATATTAGTATAGATGATTAATAATAAATTTTATAAAACTAGTCATTTATTTTCTAATTTAAAATGAAATTATTCTATTATCGAAACTACAGCTCTATTTTGGCAACCATAACCTCAGTCCTATAATACGTGTAGCGACCTCATTGTGGTTCCCAATTGTTCGTATAGAGGGCGACACAATCGGGCGGCCATGTTTATTATTGTTTATTTCGTTAAATGGTTTAGCACTGATGTACGACGCGATAGGAAGGGGATGTCGAACCGTTTTAATGTTAATTAAGTTTTAAATTGGGTCAAATGAATTATTGAAATTGATCATGGTTATGTGGTTGCAAGGAAGGCCTACAGTTCACAGTATAATGTAAAGAGGTAGTCTCGAGTTTAGATTGCTTCGTCGGCTCGAGTGGCAAATCGGACACGATTCTCGGGTCGCGTGAAGAATTAGATAGATATATTATAATCATTAAGGTATTGACTGCCAATAGAAAACTGTTGAAGGCAAATCCTCCGTTAACATCGGTCACCGGTGACCCCCATGGCGTTCAATGTGTTAAAAAACAAGTTAAGAATTAGCTTCAGCTCTTTACAACTAGGTATAATTAATTCAATACTATTTAAAGCGAATCAACATGCCACACTAATTTGACTAATTTTTACTTGGAACGAGAAGTAATAATATAAATTGCAAACAGATGTGACATCTATCCAAATAACTTGGTTAACTGTATATTTACCACCTTGTCTATTTTCTCAGCTCATTGTTAGTGGACAAATATGGCCACAACGAACTGCTAAATACACGTCGGTTAACGACGTATTATATTATGTCAATTAATTTTACGTAATTATACTGATTGTGGACATTTTAACCACGCATTTTAATATTAAAATGTAGTTATTAATAAATGGTAATATTATCATTCGTTATCGTCAATAATAATTGTGTGTGTAATGCGACTGTCTATCAAAGGGTATTGAGTTCATGCCCCGTGCATTTCGGTGTTTCTAGATTAGACATCTGTTTAATCCAAATTAACTAAAAATCGTGGGTTACTCACGTGAATACCTATACTGAGAAAGGCATTTCGAACTTTTCTGTGGTTGGTTCACCAACCACAGAAAAGTTCACTCCACAGAGGGATTCGAAATGTCTCACGATAGTTATTATAAAAACATCTGTTTAATCTAGTTATAAAGTTTATCTTAAACATTGTTGTTTAGTATCCTATTTACTGAACGCTTTTTTTATTGAGGGGGTAAATCTTCCAACGGCTTCTCCCGCCTTGGTGAGGCGCGAGTGAGTCTCAGACTCTTACTGACTAAAAACCGTTCCTACTCCTTCAAGCCGGGGCCCCGGCAACCCGTTAGGCCTTTCGCGCCTCCGTATCGGGCATCAGCTCTACTGGGCCCCGTCTGTGGTGGTCTGATCGCTCTTTGAAGCGCGCGACTTACTGAACGCTTATCCTTTCCTTACTAATATTATAAACTAGCGGCCCGTCCCGGCTTCGCACGGGGGGACTTAAGATTTTTTACATAGTTTTACGTTTTATTTATATTTATTCTCAGTTTTTTTTAGCCTCCGTTGTCGATGTCGCGTCTTAAGGTAACCGATTGAACAATTCAAAAGTTATCTAGAGCAAACTTTTATAAGGATTGAACCATTCATTAAAACTTTAGGGAACAGAGAGTATAGTTCCCTAAGATCGGAAAAGGAGGATCCTCCGACCAGGCGAGGTGATCGTGCCTGGCGGGCTTTCTGCCCAACAGTTTGTTTTGCCCAGATTGTTTTGGGTAAACTATAAAAGGTAGACATATGCTCTCGCGGACTTTTTTAAAAATAATGTTAAGATAAACAATTCATCTATAGAACATTTTTGTATAACTTTAACTATATGCTCAGCGCACGCCACGGAAGGCCTCAGAAACGATACTTTTCCCCCGTTTTTAAAACATTTTTGGTTACTGCTCCACAACTATAGGACCTAGCGTGATATTATATAGCCTATGTTACTTCTGAATAATGCAGCTTTCGAATGGTGAGAAAATTATTGCAATCGGTTCAGTAGTTTTTGAGTTTATTCATTACAAACATACAAAAATACAAAAATACAAATCTTTCCTCTTTATAATATTAGTATAGATTGGAAAGTGAGTTTGTTTGTTTGTTTGTTCCGCTTTCACGCCGTAACTACTAAACTGATTGCTTTGAATTTTTGTAGACGTAAAATTAGAAGTACGGATTAAATAATAGGGTACTTTTTATCCCGGACAAATTTGATATTCCCAAGGGAAAACAAAAGTATTGGTATAGATGGCGCTGTGTGTATTGGTATATGTCACATAAGCTACTTTTTATTCTTTTGAGACGCGAGCGAAGCCGCGGGTAAAAGCTAGTCATTTATAATTCACCTAATGTCATTTTCAATTTATCCAGAAAATTGTTATTTACATGCAAACTAGTTTTATAATTTAAATTCTCAAGGTGACTTTAGTGATTAAATAATTAGAATTAAGAATAAAACCTCGTTTCGAGAAATTACAGTCTGTACCTAAATTTTCATTTCGTAAACTAAATACATTCCTAGTACCAACTAAATTAACATACCTATGTATGTATATGGCATTTATTATTTCCACGCTTGTGTACCATAAATAATGAGGCGACTTTGTTAATATTTTATTGGACTGGTTAACTTAATGTCATTGCATAGGTAACTTATTGTCATAGGTATTTAACCTATTTCGGCTATATGTAAATTGAACTAAAATTTGAATAAATACAAACACAACTACCTTTTATACATGTACCTTTTATACATGTTTATGAATCTCCTACACATTTGGAGGCACATTTGAACTTTTTTGAAAAAGGTATCAGACAACTGCCGTATTAGAATACTAAAAAGATATCGACCCTTGTATCAAATCTACAGAGTTAACGAACGAAGCTCTATAATAAATAGCACCTTAAATATTAACTTATCTATACGTACAACACTCATTTTATAACCAACAATAAGGACTCCATTATGTTCAGTTTAAATCAAGCCGCTTACTTAATTAATTTCTATTTGAGAAGTTGCGAGTAAATCAGGGTTAACTTTAAGGTCCTCCGGGATGGCCGGCCCTTTGAAACATGAGACACATTGTTAATTATATCATTACCATCTCCGTTAAACGTGTAGTAAACTGATCGAGTTCAATTCACACTTTCAAAGTGGTTATTTAAACACCATTTACATACGGTGAAGGAAGATATCATGCGGAAACCGGGACTAATCTGTACTTTAGTTTATAAAACTGAAAAAAAAAGAGGAGTTGACTATTTCGTTTGTGTGTGTGTCTGTAAGAACGTACGAATCTCCGGAACCATTGCTTCAACATTACATCACGCCCTTTATCCCCGAAGGGGTAGGCAGAGCTGCACATTACAGCACTAAATGCCACTGTACAATGTAACACCCACTTTTCACTATTTATGTTATGAGTCCCATGTAATAGGAGGTAAACCATTTACCATATATGATAACACGTACATTTACAATTCCAGACTAGATTACAGAGTTACTACTGAGATTTTTTTAACTCGTCGAGTACCGGTTTTATAGACACAATTAAAGAACAATAGGTCGCGGTCACCGGTGACTGCTTGGTGTTTGACAGTTTAAAACCCAGTAATACATTGCCCGGCCTGGGAAGCAAACATGAAAACCCTTACCCGGCAGTCGCACTTGCTACCACTTGGCCAACGAGACAGCCTTCAAAACAAACACTGCTTCAAATTTAATCATTCATTTTTGTGTTGTATCCAACACTATTGTCCAT